ATTCACAGTCCGAACATCCTGAGACGCTGAGTGTTTCCCACCTTCCTGAAGAACAGAGCGAGCGATCCGGTTCGTCGCGGCCGACCGATTCCCGCCTGTGGCTCGGAGGAAGTCGTGGGCGCCGAGGCGACTCGGCTCGGGGAGGCGGTCAGCAGGAACTGAGCGGTGATTGTACCAGAGGAGTCACACGGCTGCACCGGGATCAGTGTGATAGTGCGGTCGTTACTCATACCTGCTGACACACACACACACACACACACACACACACACAGTTACATGTGTTTGTTTTACATTATATTTTAGATGACTGAGCAGACTGGAGCCCCCGTGTGGTTGAAAAGTAAACCGAGAGCACAAAGCTGCTGATAATTAGAGGCTTCATGATTGCTGCTATCAGAGTTCGACAGAGTTGATTTAACATTATGATTCATGTTTAACTGCAGAACAAAATACCTGATGTGACAAACTGTTCATCATTACACTGAGTTCGCTCCACGAGGGGAAAATAACTGATCTGAGGAGATTAAACGAACTTTAAACGAGCTCTTTCATAGTTTATTAAACTGATTTTATTTCCGTTGTGCAAAAGAGATAACGACAGATCTTAAATGTACTTCAGTGATTTCACACGTTTCTCTCTCTGCATGTTTCTGTTTCTGTGTTAAAATGGAAATGTTACCTCGTCTAAAGGAGGTGTATTTCCGAGGGGGGGTTTAGTTGCAGTTGTTTACTTTGAACACAAAGAAGAAGCTTTAGTGCTGTAATGTGTTGTCGTACCTTGCAGTGGGAAACTGAGCACGGTGGCCTGCGTGCCCTGAGCCCCGATCCTCAGGGTGTTATTGGAGCCGAACGTCAGCCTCTTGGCCGGCGACGACAGCGGGCTGATGCTGGGGGCCACTCCTGGTGTTGGAGGGTCGTCGCCAAACAGACGCCGCTTGGCACTGCCGGCTGCCGGGGAGCTGTACCGGTCGTGGACCGACAACGGAGAGGGAGGCACATCTGGAGCGGGGAGGAAACAGATAATGAAGTCCAGATGTTACCTGCATGCACAGA